CAACGGAACAAATATATTTGTTAGTATAAATTTTTCATTTTATGTAAAATGACATGTGCTTTACGGTCTGTATAACAAAAAAGAAAGAATTGATCCACACTAATGTGAAATATGAGAAAAAAAAGGAAACGGGCTAATGCAAATATACGGGAATATATTTACGCTTGATTAGGATAAACCAGAACAGTTAAAAAACAAGAATAAAGAGAGTAATTACAACAGGACAAGACCACTAAAAAAAATGCTTCGTACTCTATTACATGATAAAACAGCCTACACATGTTCTTTAGGTCCTGCTGATTTGTATAATTTATGTGACTTGATATATGTAAATCTACTTTAGTCTTATAACCAACATGACAAATGTACAAAGCACTGTGATGGAAAGACCCATATCATTATCAACACTGATATATTAGTCACTTAACAAACTTCACCTTGTAAACTGCCCTAAAACTTTAAAGGTTAAACATCAACACTTATTATGTGTAGCATATGCAGGTGTCCTCTAGTTTTGAAAATCATTTAGCTACCATAATAAATTGAGTTGATGGCTTATGAATATCATTATTATAGAGGGGGGGGAAGGGGAAGAAGAACTTTAAGTTGGAACTCCAGTTCTATTGCGTTAAACACTAAAACTGCAGTTAAGATTGGATGTTTACATTTCGAAGGCATGCACACGAGTAGGCAATTCATCATATTTCATATACTATTCAAATTAACATCACATGTTTTTTCATTGAAATATTTCCTTTATTTTGTTGAAGAAAATAATATTTTATACAACTTAACAATCATCACTACTTAGACTTCCACCATATTTTTCATGTCATCAATTTCTACTGTGAACAATAATGCGCATGCTTAACAGGAAGCAGGGGCTGATCCAGAGATACTTTCTGACAGTCTTCCAAATTATCTTTGTTGATCTATCCTCCATTTTTGACTGTCTTCCAGCAGAAAAAAATTAGATACCCGTCAATATAAATTTGAAAATCTGATCATCTTCTAGAAGACCCAGAAGATGGTCTCAATCCACCCCTGAGGAAGTATGAGATGAGAGGCAACTGTACAGTTGCCCTTAGCAGTGTGAACGCAAGCAAAGTGACTTTATTAGTCAGTTCTATCAGGGTTTATTGGATCATACTTTATTTGCTAGTGTGAATGGCCCTATTGATTAGGCAATACAGATTCTTTAAATGACAATCATTGCTTCCAATGTTCACCTCATAAATAATATGTGTTAGTGACTACTGGCTTTACTGTCAGTCTGACCTATGAAGTAAAAATAAAATCTATTAAATATATTATAAAGAAATTATTTATAAAGAAAACTTATTGCCTATTCAAGGTATCACTGTTAAATAATTTGTGGTTATGAAGGAGTGAAAGAATAACAAAACATTGCATCACTTTTTAATAATTTTTTGCTTGAAATGATTAATCTGAGTTCAGGTAAGCAAACAGCAATGAAGAAATAGGGCATTTCAAATTTAATCATACCAAAGAAACATTTTGAGGTATGAAATTTTCTGAGCCCAATGTGTTAGGGACCATTCCCAGACCCTATCATACTAACTGTGGATCGATCTATCTCCGGGGGGATTCTTGCTAAATTGCAATCAGCTTAAGTGGCTTAGATGTCTGTCACACCTACTGAAGCTGTGAAGGTGTAATTTATTATAGTTCAGCAGCTTTAGTAGGCGTGCCAGACATCTAAGCCGTTTAAGCTGAAAGCAATTTAGTGAGAAACCCCTTGGAGATGGATCCATCCTGTTAGATCTATCTACTAGTAGATATGGGAACCTAGTCTTAGAAAATCAACAAACTAAAAATTGCTTCCTACCCCCAGAAAAAGGTGTAATCTTATTTCATCACTGAACTTTCAATTTGGTTTCCAAAATCCCCCTTCCAAATCCCTTTTAAGGTTGTATAGCATTGCCAGTGTAAATGCATGGCAATTTTTTAATCTACATCTGCAAATCCATACTTATGCAAAATGCATGAGACGGAGGTCCCAGCAAAAATTACATCAGAGTGCATCAAAAATTAACAAAAACTTTGTTATTTTTTTATTTTTGGGGGCTGAACACAAATTAAACTGGGACATTTTAATCTTTTATACTTAATCAAAATCAAACAAGTGAACATGACACTCCATCTATAAACTTAACTGTTTTTTTTGCTTCTTAACACCTATTAGCAGTGCCAGAGTTTTCAGAATAACCAGTCACTCAATGGACATAGCACACCAATTTAATTGGTAAATGGACAGTAAAGCAATTTAATAAATAACAAGGGTTAAAGGGATAATTACTCTTCATATGATATCTATATTTCACAATAAAAACATTGTGAATAACTTATAGAAATATAATACATTCTGTTTTACCACAAAAACGGCAGTTATAGCTATTATCCTGATATCTGAGCTTGTCTTTAGACCATGTGACCTCCACTGATGGCTATACTCTGTTAAAATCTCTTAAGAGACTTTAACAAAAAAAACAAACTTTTTAGAAAAAAACCAGGGACTAACTTTGAATATAAAAATGGATTCATTAACCATTGGCATTGGTAAGTATGGGAAAATTGTTGTTTACTCCAGGAAAATTCATTTTTTGGTCGAAACGAAGAGTTATTATCCCTTTAATATAAATATTCAAATTTCAAAATCTCAGTTTAAACTATGTTTTTATCATAATGCAGTTCATTCTAAATGATATAAAAAAGCATCTATTCTAATAGTGAAAAGCGAGTATTCATCTTACCAAAGAACTACATACTTTCAAATCACAAGCTACATAAATTTACATTACTGGTGCATACTAAAATACATCCTATGGAAGAATTCCCTCATTTACCATGTCTGCATCTGTGCTATAGTTTTCATTAAAAAGTCCTACATGACATAAAATTTAAGTGACAGAGGCTTGTTAAACGAGAATTGACTCACCACCTACACAGAACACGGCTGCTAAGGACTGACTATACTGTACAATCCAGAAGTCTGCATCAAGCAACCTGTATATGTTCTGCATAAATGAATAAACCTTAAGGCCAATGATATAGTTGGCAGTGAGATCATCAAATCTAGATGTCATCATATTGTTAATGCCAGCAGCAAACACACTGGAATATGTAACAATCATTACAAGGAAACTGCAATGATGTGTTTTATTTTCTGTTTCATCTAATTTTCTAAATTTTTCTTTTTTTTTCTCATGACTGTTTGTCAATTTAACGTGACTTTCATGTAAAACCTCAGTTGGATGATAATCTGGTTTCATTTGTGTAATCATAATGCAATATCTCAGAACTATATATATATATATATATATATATATATATATATATATATATATATATATATATATATGTTAGAAAAGGGTATATCTTGCTTCTAAAATGGGCTTTTCAAGACCTTTGCTCACATTCCAATGTGGAATATCTTTCACAGTGTTACAGACTTACATTGCCAGACAGATTATTGTTTCACACAGAAGAGTTCAAGCAGTTTCATAGAGTTATGCCCAGACTAAATGGATTTGACTTTTCAGAGCAAAATCTAAATGTTGAATGTGTTAGAGGAGACTGTTTTATTTTGCCTCTAATGTTTACATTAAGAATATGCATTTGTCTATACCAGCATAAAACAGTTACTTTGCCCTTCAAACGACTAGTTCAATCATTAGTTTTTTATAGTATTTACATTCTGAATTCTTAAATCACTTTTTGAATAGTGCTAATACATATATCTTATTAGACTGCCACCATATAAATACAGGCCAATCCTGATCATTCAATGCAATTATGAACCCGACCAAAGATGCCCAAGTCTGGAAGAAGGCTATAATCCAGGAGACTACAAAATTCTGCATGGCACTATTTAGACTAGCACTTTTCTATTAAATAGCACAGCTGCTGTTGAAATCCAATTTAGTTAAAATCTTAAATGAAGCAGAGGCAATGCATTGATTTTGAATCATGCACAGTTCCACTGAATTGCAGTGGTTAGTTCTTGAGAAATTTTAATTTCAGTTATTAATAAATTAAAGTTCAGGACTACATGCATGTGCGGCTACATCTTCCTGCTGTTTATTTGTTAATCCGATGTTGAGTCCTTGAATGGCACTCGAGTGTTTAATTCAACAAAGTGTTTAGGCCTAATTCTGCATGGGATCAGATACAGTATATTGGATTTACAAACAAGCAAAGGGTGTAGCCTAGGAAATAAAAGGTAGTTAGATGTACCAAATTTGAAGGTGATCTCATATCTACTCTTATTTTATGTGGATTTTTCTCACTTATTTTCCGTTATTCTGTTTTATAAGCTTCTACCATCATATTGTTTATATGGGGTATGTACTCAGTATATGGGGATTTTATTTAATTCGTTTAAAAACTTAACTCATTTTTACTGCATTAAGGTAGATTAGTATGGTATTCTGAAGTCGTTTTCCGTTGTTCTTAATGTCATAAAACAATGTTAGTAAACTAATCAATTTAACAGCTGAGCGTGACTACGTGTATATTCTTAATACCGTATTCACCCATTACCGCACCTTATTGTTTCTTTTAGTAGTTATCAGAGACAGAAAACCTAGACTCTGTCCATTTCTGTGCCTTAAGCTGTAAAAAGCGTTCCAGCAATGTTTAAATACTGAAATACATAGTCAATGTAAACATAAACACCTGACTAAGAATGCTCATGCTTGTATCACTTACCTGCGGTGAAACTGACATCCCTACTATCTTCTCAACTTCGTAAATATCATCATCGTCTTCATTTTCTTCCTCTTCTTCATTGGTGTCAGGTTCTGTGCCCTGCACTGGTTCCATCTCAGCCATTCTTTATGAAAACAGATAAAGTATTCTTGGAAATAAATAAGTGGGCTTTACATGGACACCAATGAATGGATTGTGAGAAAGTTCGTCTTCCGTACAGTTTCTACGCATGCGCCTCCGGATGCGCAACTCACCACCGATAAACAAAATATGCACGTGTGACTTGGGGATATGTGTTGTTTTCTTTGGTTCAGAGTTTGAACAACAATATACCATGAAAACAAAATCTTCTTACCATCGGAGTGAAAACACATTTAGAGTAAGTTTCATCTAAGGGTCTTGCATATGATTTGTTAGATTCATGACTATAAATATTATATTGATACGGTTATTTAAAAACCCTCAGCTTAGCAATACTTTAACAAAATGTCGTAATTAGATTGCTTAGATGCCTTGATTTAAGAGCATATGGATTCTGGAAAAATACATAGCTTTACATTTCAGTAATCATTATGTATTATGTGATCGTTTCAGTTCTTGACGTTCTCTGAGAGAGTCGCTAACATCAACATAGATGTAATTAGACGAGTGGACAGACGTGTAACAGAGGATGAAGAGGTTGAAACATATTTTGGAGAAGCATTACAAAAATGGACCGAGCTAAACTGTACAGAACACTTCAGTAAGTATAGTATACAATTTTTGCCTCCAGTATTCACACATGACGTTTGAAATATTTACTCTCATGCTAAGACACAAGGATGGTGTTACAGCATGACTTAGTATTAGAAGTTATATGGCCAGAAACATTCACTCTCTTGTCAAAAGCCTTCAACCCACTCCCTTCCCCTACTATTTACCTTCATATTGGATTTTTGCTATCAGTAGGTTTATAAAAATTCTATTTAAGACTTTGGATATCCATTTCTTTGTCAAATATACTGCAGTTTGATAAATGAGAATGAGGACTATATGTTTAATGTAAATTACTGAAAGATACAGTTGTCTCTTCTCATTTGCAGCCAACTTCCGCCGTGAAATATCAGGACAAGTGAACAATTTTGCACAATTAGTACACCATAAAGTAGGTTAATTGTTATGAAGTGTGGTTGCATATCTTATTAAAGTTTAGTGATAGTATGATGACATATTTATTGACATGTAAAATTAGTAACATTTTTTATTTAATTTTGAAATTGAAACACAAAATGATTTTAAGTAATATAAGGATTTTATTATGTATATAATTTTAACTTTTCTTTTTTAGCAAGAAATAATAGATGTTCTAAAAAGACATCTGCAAGTAACATATCTTATTAAAGTTTAGTGATAGTATGATGACATATTTATTGACATGTAAAATTAGTAACATTTTTTATTTAATTTTGAAATTGAAACACAAAATGATTTTAAGTAATATAAGGATTTTATTATGTATATAATTTTAACTTTTCTTTTTTAGCAAGAAATAATAGATGTTCTAAAAAGACATCTGCAAGTAACAAACAGTTTGGCATTTGAGCCACTTTTGGAGTAAGTACAAGCAAATGATAATTTTTTAAGTATTGATTTCTTTAAGTCCACACCATCATTTGTTAAGTAAGGATATTTTCCTAGTCCTGGTTTGTTAACATATATACATATTTCCAAAAAGTGATTCCCAGATCCTAACTTGTTTAGGTTGATTGTTTTGCTTAATTTAACTAGAAAAGCATATATTTTTTTTTCAGTTTGGTGGTCAATTTAGCAAGAGATCTTCAGGCTGATTTCACCCCACATTTCCAAGCATTCTTTGACATCATAGTGGCACTGTTGAATGCTTTTCCCCAGAACACAGAACTACTCGAACAGGCATTCACAACACTGGCATATCTCTTCAAGATTTTGTGGCGATATCTTGTGAAAGACATTGAGAATGTATTCAGGTAATATGTTAAGATTTTGGTAGGTCAAGTGGGTTTTTTAGCCAATAAATTGCTTATAAACTGTTATTGTTTGATGCAGTGATGGCAGAGAAGCAAACTTGAATGACTTGAAGTTAAGGTTTCATCCAGGAAAGTGTTCATTTTATTTTGATGTTATTACTTACATTTTATGAAGTATGATGATGTAAGACATCCTTTGTTTTTGTTGCAGGTTTTTTTCTCCTTTGCTGGGCCAGCAGCATAAAGAGTACATCAATAATTTTGCGGCTGAAAGTTTTGCATTTTTGATGAGAAAGGTGACTTTGTATTTTAAGCATGAAAAGATTGTTTACCACATGGCTATGTACTTGTACATTTTTATTGGTTTCGTTGTGATGAAGAGTGCAGAAATTAGGAACCAAGGAAATATATCAGAACTGGAAGTCATGGATATCATTTTTTTAGCAAATTAAATTTGGTCTGATTAAGTATACAGGGATTAAGTAACCAGGGTTGTTCACCAATGATTTAGGGAAAATGCTGCTTTGTCATTGAAAGTGTGAAATTTGTAGACAAATGCTTGTTTCAGTCTGTGATATTGGACATACAAGTATTCAAGTAAATAACCACATGTAATATCTTACATGCCAATCTTCATACCTGATATTAACACACCACGTCAGTGGCACCAAATAAAGATCCATTTGTGAATTGTTAATAAAAAGGTTTAGAGAAATTGATTTTGTAATTACATATTACAATTTATATGTTTTTTTTTTGTAGGTGAAGGACCATGGTGCACTTTTTAACTTTATGTTCAAGAGTCTGGAAGAAAACCCAGATGTAAGTTAATTCCTTTCACCTGCTTTGGAATTTATGGTGTATTTCCAGAATATTAGAGTCTGGATGGGCACATAACATTTTATCATCATTAAAAGTAAAATGAAGTGTTATTCAGTCATTAATGCTTGCAAGCGTTTTTACCTATGTATTTAAATTAATAATTGTACTAAGTAATGGCAAATTGTTTGAGTATGATCAAGATCAAAATTGATGATACTAGTAAATTCTCATTTTAATTTCTTTTAAATTCCCAGCAAGTAGCTGGTGTAGGAAGACTTCTATTTGAAATGAGCAAGGGAGTGAGGAAACAATTTCACAGTTGTACAGAAAAGGTAACAAAATAGTAATAATTAGATAAAAGTAAAAAATTACTGACCACCAAAATCTGATTTTTTTGCCACTTTCTACCACTTACAAAGTACATACAGACAACTTTTTCAGCTGCTGAACAACAGTTTAAAATGAAGCTTCATATATGAATTTAAAAGCCAATTTCTAATCTCAAGGGATTACTTCTTCAAACCACACTGCAGACCTTCTTTGGTATAGTTGTCTTGTTCTTTGTTCTAGGTTTTTCCCATAGTTCTTTCTAAGCTGGGACCTCAGGATGGAGATGCTGTAAATTTAGACTGGGATATGGTTGAACAGGCATTGATCAGTATGATGCAGGCCATGACAACATATACTTCCAAAGAGGAGAGTCAGGTCATTCTAAATATTTTAGAGGTAATTGCTACAACTAAGTTGAATTGATAGAACTATGGGTGTCATAGAACTATGAGTTGTAATTGTAAAATTAGGAACGTATTGCATTTTTAATCGTAGAAAAATGTATTGCTGCTTTGCAATTGATTTGTTGATTGATATTTTGTCAATTGATATTTTGTGCATTTTACTGCAATTTTGGTTCTTCATGTGATATTTTACCATTCTCTTTGCTTGTCTTACTTTTATAAGAAAAATTGACAACAAACCAGGGTTGTTCACCAATGATTTAGGAAAATGCTGCTTTGTCATTGAAAGTGTGAAATTTATAGACAAATGCTTGTTTCAGTCTGTGATATTTGACATGCATAAACGTTGGACAGAGAGAAGGCAGAAGAAAAAGAAAGCTGAGGCAGCAAACCATCTTCACAGATTGCTGAAGTTACAACTAGTGTGGGTGCAATATAAGGACGGAGTGTTACTGTCAAAACCAGAGAACATAGCCAAAGTAAGTGATACTAATTTTGTAAACTTCAACAGCTTGTTGAAATTTAGGCTGAAGGCCTTTTTTGGCAGTTCACTGTACATCAGAAATGTGTATGATTCATAAGTTTTTAGGGATTTAAGAAACAAAATCCAAGAAAAATGACAAATGTTTATAATTGATGGTATATATTAATATTGTAAATGAATTATGATGCAGCATACATGTAATATAATTTGCTTTATTTTTTATATATATACATATTGTTTTGACTGTTTCTCTCAGCAACTGTGCACAATACTGATTGGAGAAGAGTTACCTGTGGACTGTGCGAAGACTCTCTTGCAGGTCACGTCATCTCTTCTTCTTGATTCAAGGTGTACACTGGGTGTTGATCACATAAGCAAACTGATAGCCACAGTAAGTCTTTATTGAATTGCATGTTTATGTAATTCATGGAAAAAAACTTACTAAATTTTGTTAAGTATTTGCTAGGGCTCCTCTTAAATCAATTTCTGAACTATTTAGTGCATCTAAATGTGTGTGCTGTGCATGCATCCAAATATGTATGCTTGCATGTTTTAGTTTGTATTTGGAGTAAGCAATTTAGTGGCATTATTTTCACTTTGTACTTTCAGGTCTTCAAAACATCCTTTCCACGTGAAGTTCTTTTTTCATTTACAAGACGTGTATTTTCACTGCCCATGTTTGAAAAGGTATTTCATTGTGCCTTCATTATATTAAGATGTTTCTTTTCATTTTTAGAATAATTATAAGATCCTGTTCAGTGTATAGAAATTTTTAAGTACGAAACTCAGTACTATTGTACAATTTTATCACATTGTATTAGGAAATATAAAATATTACATTGTATAAGGAATGTAGTTAAAATATTCCATATTATTATCACCAGCTGCAAAATAACAAGTCATTGCTGTTGAACCTCCAGGTTTCTTATATTCAGTTATAGTGTTAATTTCATGTGTTGTTCATATATATCTGTTGTAGGACATGCTGCCACCATTGATGCAGTACTGTCATGAATGTGTGAAGTCTGGTAAAGAAATTGAAGATGTATTACAGCTACTGACAGAGCTGGTTATATACAAAACCACACCCATAACTGATGCTACTCAGCTTGATACCAGGACATTACTTCTCTTGGATTTCAGTTTTGCTGTGAAAGGGTAAGGGTAACGTCCTGAACAGTGCAGTTAATTGCACTCAATCAAGACATGATGATGCCATATTAAACAGTTAGGTTTATATAGACTTTTGATGACGTTTACACACACAGTAAGTGTTATACAACATTTTTTAACTAAAAAGTAAAGATATAAATGTATACCTATATTAAACAATGTTGTACTAAATAATGTAATGTTTGATATTACTGCATGAAGCTAACCACATTCTGTTAGCATGAAAACAATTTAGTTGATATTGTTTGTTAAATGATAATATTTATCAAACATAGCTCACTATGGCATAGCTCACAATCTATTTACAAATTTCAGGAAAACGCAGGACACTTTTCCGAGGTTTGTGACATCCTTACTGACAAAGTCTTTTTCTCTAAGTGATCTCTATGAAGTGGCACAATTGTGGGCAGCATTAGTGTGTGTTCCTCATGTCAGGTAATTCCACCCAATGATATATATGTCTGATTGAAATGTTAAAGAATAAGAAACTAAGCAGTTTGCCAAGATTTGTTCTGTGCCAAGTAATTTTTCATCAAATAAAACTTAAAACTTGCTTGCAATTTGTAGTAAATTATTTTTGTAATATCCCCAGCTTGATATCAGATATTTTTATCCCTAGAAACGTTGTCATTGCTGCAGGTGTTTTTTGCAGAAAGTTTTAAGCTGCTGATCTTGCTGGTCATAATTTGTACAACCTGGAAAATGGCCTTTCTTGCTTGAAAACATTTACAAAACTTAAAGTTTAACTGAGTTGAAACTTCTTTTTAATGGTTTTTTCTTTTCACTGATTTTTTATTTACTCTTCAGGCCTTTGCAAAAGGAAGAGGCAATGAAGGGATTAAGAATGGTGTTTGAAAGTTTGAGTAAAGAACTTGGCAGCAGTGACTGTAACAGTGGTAAGATCCTTTATACACTATTTCACAATCTTAATAGCCAAAATAACAAAACATTGATGATGAATTTTTACTTTTTTTAGCAGAAAAAAATTATCTTTTTGTTATGAATGTAAATTGTTTAAGAATTCACAATTAATTTTAATGTCATGTAAATGAAATAATGTTTTTAATTTCTAAAATTTATGGATTTTCTATTTCAGTCTCCACCTGCCTACCTCTTCTTTGCCAGACTATCATTGCCATGTTACATATCTGCCATGAAAGAACATTTTTTGACATTGTGTCTGTAGATGTTATCAGGATGTTACTAAGGTATGATAGATAATTAGCCATTATCATTTTGCTATCAAAATGTTAACTTACATCAAAAGAAATGAAACTAGTTTTTGAACTTTTTTTTGTGAATTTTTTTTCTTTTTGTGAATGTATATGCATATATGCAGCATAACCTTTTTGTTGAAAAAATATGTAAAAGTCATTTTTTGTTTCCTTGTTTCTAGAAAATATGGTTCAGAGGTGCATATGCTGAGGACAGCAGATCTGTTCTTCACAAAGGCAGCTGGGGAAGATATGGAGGACATTTGTACAGAGCGACTGGGTCTGGAAATTTTTCCATATTTACAAGAGAATTTATCATCTAGTATATCACAGGTAATTTGACTTTTTTATTATTATGTAGTATCTATATTAATTTTCTTTTGCTAAACATTTGATATTTGTACTATGCTCTTATTTTCTTGCTTGGGTTGAGATTCAGATTTTTTGATCTTTTGTTTGTTAAACCCTACCATTTCTGTTTCAGAGTAGACTCCTGACTTTGAGGATAATGTCATGTTTTGATCTACCTTTACCTGAATGTGAAGATGAGGTTTGTGACTCTTAAAATGATTTTTTAATTATTTATCATATATTTTTAGGCAATTATTTCAAAGATATATTGGATTTAACTCATAAATTGTTCATTTGTTTGTGTTCTTTGTAAGTGTAACAGTAACATGTGCTACTCGCTGAATATAAACTTGAATAGAAATGTTCACATAAATATTGCAATTCTTTCATTTATTTTTCAACACCAGAACACAGTCCAAACCAGTATATTCAGTATATGTCTTGCTGCAGAAATGATCCCAATAACAGTGCAAGACTACAGGGAGAAACTGATGCACCTGAGAAAACTGGACTTTGAAGTGGTGGAGCACAATATCCCAGTGGGACCTTTCAAAGAGGTAAATGCTTTCTACTTGGTATTTTGTGTCAAGAATGAATACAAGCACTTGGTGGGCCTGAGGGTGAAAATGCACCTTCAGTCAAACATTGAAAAAGCATTAGTATAATACCATTATTAATCTTAATAAGTTGTTGTTATTGGAAGTGTTGAGAGAAAGTGTTTTTGATAAGGTAAAATATTGTAGAAGGTTAATGAATATCCTNTTTTGTGAATGTATATGCATATATGTAGCATGACCTTTTTGTTGAAAAAATATGTAAAAGTCATTTTTTGTTTCCTTGTTTCTAGAAAATATGGTTCAGAGGTGCATATGCTGAGGACAGCAGATCTGTTCTTCACAAAGGCAGCTGGGGAAAATATGGAGGACATTTGTACAGAGCAACTGGGTCTGGAAATTTTTCCATATTTACAAGAGAATTTATCATCTAGTATATCACAGGTAACTTGACTTTTTTATCATTATTTAGTTCTATATTGATTTTCTTTTGCTAAACATTTGATATTTGTACTGTGCTCTTATTTTCTTGCTTGGGTTGAGATTTGAGGTTTGAGATTTTTTTGATCTTTTGTTTGTTAAATCCTACCATTTCTGTTTCAGAGTAGACTCCTGACTTTGAGGATAATGTCATGTTTTGATCTACTTTTACCTGAATGTGAAGATGAGGTTTGTGACTCTTAAAATGATTTTTTAATTATTTATCATATATTTTTAGGTAATTATTTCAAAGATATATTGGATTTAACTCATAAATTGTTCATTTGTTTGTGTTCTTTGTAAGTGTAACAGTAACATGTGCTACTCGCTGAATATAAACTTGAATAGAAATGTTCACATAAATATTGCAATTCTTTCATTTATTTTTCAACACCAGAACACAGTCCAAACCAGTATATTCAGTATATGTCTTGCTGCAGAAATGATCCCAATAACAGTGCAAGACTACAGGGAGAAACTGATGCACCTGAGAAAACTGGACTTTGAAGTGGTGGAGCACAATATCCCAGTGGGACCTTTCAAAGAGGTAAATGCTTTCTACTTGGTATTTTGTGTCAAGAATGGATACAAGCACTTGGTGGGCCTGAGGGTGAATATGCACCTTCAGTCAAACATTGAAAAAGCATTAGTATAATACCATTATTAATCTTAATAAGTTGTTGTTATTGGAAGTGTTGAGAGAAAGTGTTTTTGATAAGGTAAAATATTGTAGAAGGTTAATGAATATCCTGTATATTTTAAGTAGGAACATATATTGTCCAATTTTTGTTTATTTATTTATTTATTTATTTATTTATTTATTTATTTATTTATTTATTTGTGTAGGTGCCATTGAGGTATTTGCTGGGAATGATGTATGTGAACTTCACATTGATTTGGGACCCTTTATTAGAGCTTATAAAGACACAGGCATGTGGCTTAGAGAAAACATCATTTTGGAATATCTACATTCCCCATTTGAAGACATCAGCTGAGTTAGCAGGTAAATTGTCACTTCATTGAAACCATAGCAATTATTTGCTGGTACTTTTTTATGACTGATTCCCATAGTGTGATAAATGATGATGCATATTAACAAGTTATGAACAAACAATTTTTTATTTACATCTATTTTCTGTTCCTTATACTCACTGGTCTCTATGCTTATTGTACCACCAGCGTTAGCGCTGGCGGTACACATGGTTTTAGTCCCGTCCGGTCCGTTCCGCCGGCTCCGCCAGCTCCTGCGGCTCCNCTGAACTTTGCAAATTTTGCTTCTCTTTTATCTCCAAAACTGGCAGAGATAGGTCCATAGTTACTGTTGAAGTTGAATAGAAAGTCATATACTGACCATTTTTAATTAACTTTTAGAGAGAAGCCTGTTAGACTCCAGCACAACTCGTCCAGAAGGCCAGTTGGTGGATGAAGAAGAAGAGGATATTGAACAAAGACCATTAGAGGAGATCTTCAGATTGCACTGTTCAAAATGCTCCAGCACTAAAGACAGACCAGATCACGCCAATGTTCGTCTTCTTCTCTGGAAGGCTATGCACCTGTTTCCTGACAAGTGTGAGGCTAAAACTAGAGAAATTGTTCCTTTGTTCTTTAGATTTCTTGAGTAAGTAATGTTTGAATTTTATTTTTAGATTCTCTATTCTTTTTCCCTTTTTTTAAAGAAAATAGTATTTACTATAATGGTATATTTCTTTGATCTTTAATGATTGCCAAATGTTTTTTTTTCTTCAAAAAGTGATTATGTATGTTTTTTTTCATAATCATACACTTCACTTTAACTTTGAGACGTACATATAATATTTTAAATTCAGTTTATAGTTTGGCTTCTTTTAACTTTTTTGTCAAATGTGTTAAGCTAGCATTTACTATCATGACTCATAATCCAGGAATGAGTATTACCCTGCTGACCTACATGTGGCCCCCACTCAAGATTTGAGAAAGCCTGGGGATGGTTTGGATGAAGAGTTAGAAGTAGACCAGGGGGATAGCAGTCAGGGAGATGAGGAGGAAGGAGAAGAGAGTAAGGGAAAGATGAAGCGGAAAAGAGCTCCAACAAAGTAAGTAGAGATTTATCTGACATGACATAGATGTGATTTTTGAACAAGATGAGGAAAAATTAATGTAACAGATTTTTATGTAAGTTCCCTGTTAATTGTATTTGATTATGTTTGTTTTTAGGACATTATTAGCACACCTGAGGTTATTCACCAAATTCAAAAGCCCAAAATCAGTGTACCAAGAGCCAAGGCTCAGAGAATTATACCAGGAGGTGAGCTTTAAAGTCAAAAAATGCCATGAGAAACTTGATTTTGTCTTTTTGTCAGAATTACATGATCTGATTTTTTTTTTAAATTTAGCAAAGATTTAACCATTACTTTTCAAAACAAGAAAAAAAATGCGCTCACATCATCCAAATGTTTTTTCATTACTAAAGCACAAATGTCTAACAAGTTGCAATATTGTCTTAGTGCCTAGACAATTTGATCTGTTTATTTATATTTTGTCCCAAATAATACAAAGAAAGATATATTTGTCGAGTGCAGTCATGGTAGCAGTAACAATTACAGCAAAAACAAATAAAGAACATTATGTCATGGTGAAATAATTTGAATGCTTTTAGTTACTAAAACACAAAGATCCAAGTGTCCAACAAGTTGCAATGGACTGCATTTATACCTATAACTACAAGTACATTACACCTTACAAGTAAGTATCAATGGCTACTTTAGAAAAGGAAAGTTATAATCTAAGCATTTAGTACATGACTAGTGTAAAGATTTATTTTTATCACTGAATATTAATTTCATTTGTTTTTTTCCATTAATATGTGTTTTTTTTTTTTTTACATATAGACTTGTATGAAATTATTTTTACTAAATTTTGTAAATTCTGTGAAGGATGCTAAAATTGTCTGATTTTTAAAATAAACTTTTTTCCAGGGAGAATTTTAACCGCCTGCTTGACAACAAGACATTTAAGAATGAAATCATTTTGTTCAGTATAGACACTGAAAATAGTGTGGTGGACCCAGAGCACAGGGAAGGACTGCTGCCTTTGCTTATGAGGTATGTTAACAACAGGAAGCCCCAATATGGAAGCATTCAGAACTAGTTGATGCTTGGGCTAACTAGTGTATGGATCAAATATGGCACCACTCATTAAAAGCATGCTGACATTTTATTACTCTGCCCTTGCTGGGGCAACGGTATTTTTTTTAGCTTTTTATGCTGTTTGTATCATTATTCATGTTTTAATAAGAGTGTAATTTATGAAGCTTAAAACGGAATTACACAATCCAGCATAAATACAGTTACTTTACAATGCACTGCAATTATGCTTATTTTTTTCTCATATATTCAATTTCATACTTGGGTGTTTTTATCCCTAATTCTATTTTGATTATCATTATGACCAATCTTATGAAGTAGTTATTTTTAAAGACTTGTACTTTGTGGGCCCTGCTGTTGTCTCACTGACCTCCAAAGCTTTGTGGTATATGATGGCAAAGGCCTCTTTAATATTTGTGTAACAGCTGTCACTGTACTTTATTTACGAACCCGAGTTTACTCTGTGTGTGAACATAGCAGAAACAAGAAACGAATGTGCCGCGTAACAAAGAGGGGCGTGTTTTATATAAAAACGAAGACACACGGACACAAACGAAAAGGCACGAACACACTTCTCTACACTAACACAACCACAATCATACATCATACATACACATGTTACATTTGCATGCCTTGATAGTCACATTAGTTTTGGTCTGTTATAACAAACAGTCCCTTAACTAGGTGTAAACTGACAGAGGGAATCTGATTTTCCACTAATGTGAAGCCAGTATTAACTTAAAGGTAGTGAAGGGTATGTGCAGGGATTCAGCAACATTCTTGGAATCAAGACAGGATGATGTATTAAAATGTGAATAAAAACAAGCTGACACAAGGCAGATTCTAAATCCCTTTTAAGTCTAATCCAGTGGTTACTGAAAGATTATTTCTCTGTTTCATGCCACTGATGAAGCTGAGATAAAATTCCGGTTAAAATTTGTGCTAATTGGATATACCTTGACAACTCATTAGGTAATCAGTGTTACCAGATACAAATTAGTAATAGAATATGCCATTTCTGGTGGTTATAAGAAGATTGTCTTCAAATTTGTTGCATAACTCAGAGGAAGTTGTTTTCAGAATTGGGTTAATTTGTATGCACAGTGGGAATACCATGACAATACGAGCGTCAAAGACTTTCGGTATTAGCCTGTGAAACCATATGCATTCTACAAAAAAGTTTTCATAGTGTGCTGAGAAGTTGTCTTTTAGTTAGCAAATTTATACAGTTGGAATTATGTCTTTTTAAAAGAGCAAATTTATTCAGCTAAAATTGCCCAAAAAATCAAATTATTATCAATCAAAGATAGAAAACTTTGCTAAATGTCCATTTTTTAGCATCTTCCTTTGACATTGGCTTCCTTTAGCAATGTTAGGGCCCATTGGTTTATTGAGAACAACCACCCTGAAATGAACCTACATTATTTATTATACAATATCAAACCAATGATAATTGTTGAGGAAATAACAAAATTATATCAGGCTCTTATCATCTAGCTTACCTGGCTGTAAGTGAAAGACATTTTCCAATTACCACAATATTTGTATCAGTATTGTACTAGTTTAAAGTATCATGAAGTATAAGATGTAAAAAATCAATACTGGCAATGATTTGGGAACATTGAAATTTCCCAATGATGCTGCTCTATACATTTTCTCTATGAGTTTATCTCTTCACATTCTAAAATAATTTAGATTTAGGCCTATATGCATATGATACACCACAATCAGTAGTTTAAAAATTCTTGTGCTTCATGTTCTATATATTAGCAGATATGATGTTTGCTTTCCCAGGATTCTCTATGGAAAAATGCTCCACAAGACGGGCAAGGACTCTGCTGGGAAGGGGCACAGTCAGTTCCGCAAAGCCATTGTTTTTCGCTTTCTGGCAGGCTGCCAGCAGCAAGAACTCAAAATTTTCATGGATCTCATATTTCAACCTTTTGTCAACTTTGCAACTGGTAGGAAGTTCAGTTTTATCATAGCAAAAACTGTTAAAATTTTTGATCTGCAATTTTAACACCTGTAATTTCTGTAAAATAAAGAAGTTGTAAAAAAGACAGAAATGATCTGTGTAACTGTATCATTCTAGAGAAATGTAATGCAGATGAAACTATGCTTATAAATATTTCCAGGCATTAAAAAGAAAAAAAATGATGTAGATAGTTTTGATATGTGAGTCTTTAAAGATTCTTCGATGTATTTTATTTTTCAATATAGGTGATGCTCTTAGTGCTCTAAGAGCAGCTGTAGCTTCAGTTGATCTCAGTAAGATGGTGCCTCTCAGGAAACAACAAGGGTGAGGCTTTCATTTTAGTGATTTATTTTTTTAAAAAAATGGTTTTGGGGGCGCTCAAGCACTATGGAAAGGCTCCAAGGGTGCATGAAGAGTCATTATTATGGGGAAGTCTGTCTACACCAAGTTGCCTGTTGAGTGGCAAACTAAAGGCTCTATGTACATAGATAGATCCAACTCCATGGGGACTCTTGCTGAATGCTATCGGATTAACAATTAAGAATTTGTTGGCAGAGGAAAATAACTAGCTTTAAACACTACAATTAGTAATTTTTCATATCTATCACTACTAGCACATACATGACACTGTAAAATATTTTAATAGTGTTAAGAATACTTCCATTAGTTATCCTAGATTAAAAATTTGAATGGCATGGTCTTGATTTCCTTATTTTATTTAAGTGAGATATTTACTTGTTAAAAAGTTTGTTGAAGGTATGCTAGATAAAATTATCAGTTTTAATCACTAAATAAGTCATTATTTTTTAAACTTCCTTCTAGTCTTTTGAACACCATGGATGTCATCTTCAATAAGCTTGGCAATCTAATAGACAGCTACCTGCCCACCATGTATCAGATCTTGGTGTGTCTGGCTGGTATCTGCGTCCATGTGCTGGACAGGAGGGTGGACATCCACCCCAAGGCTATTAACACACTCAAGACACTCAGGCAGCTGACCATTAACAGAATTACTCAGGTAGCCATTTTTATGTCTTTCACTCTCCAGCTGATTAGAGTTGATTTTAAAAATATCCTGAAAAAATGTTTGCTGGTGGTATTGGGGTATGGTGTATGGAAGTGGAATTTACAAACGTACAGATTTTGTTGAAGAATGTGCCAATTGCCATAATGATAAGGATGTGACTGTTTAAGGAATAATGCAAGCCTTAATCAGTTTTGTTTTGTATGTGAAAGTCTGTGGTAGGTAGGTACCTGTTGGCAAGTTGTGTGTCTTGCAGCTTGTTATTATTATTATTATTTTTCTTAATTTTTAATTTTTATTTTTTAGTTCTTCTCATCCTTTGACAACTACTCATTTAGCTGGCGAGACATAGATGCTGTGTTTGAGGCAGTGGTGTGGCCCCAGGTAGAGAGGCTGCCACATGAAAGTCTGAGCCATCCAACGCCTTTGCTCAAGTTGATCTGCGCCTGGAGCCAGAGTGTCAGGTATTTGAGTACTCGCTGGTGTAAGCAGTGGCCAAGGGCAGATATTTCAGATATTTGCTGTGGCAAGAAAAAGGGAGCGGGAGATACTTTGACTCTTTATCATTTGGATATGGTGTTTAAGATTTGTCTTTTGGCCAAACCGAAGACCATGGTGTTATGAATCAAGTTTAACTTTAGATAGTTTAAAGAAACTGTTAAATACTTTTTGGTTGACAAGAGTAAAATATTGACACTTAACTACATTTTTCATATCAAGAATAACATCTGACATGCTTGATATATTTTCTGTTCTGTTGCTTACATACATAAAAACTGCTAAGCCTTATTACAGATTTTTAGTAACATTTAAAAGGATTTTCATTAAATTGTGAAGTATTTGATGAAATCTTGTGTGGTGTAAGTTATGAATTAGCATACAACATTTTATTTAGGTATCTCCCTCTCCTGGGAAAGCATCAGTCAGGGAGCAAACAGCTTACCCCTCTTAAGTATGTGTTCCAACTACTGGTGGCCCCAACGGCCAGTAGCACAGTGACCAACATGATAGTGGACATAATCGAGCACCTGTTGACCCTGGAGGAGAAAGATGAGGAGGAAGAAGAGATGGAGGGAATGGTAAAACACAGGGTTACTGATCTGGAGGTTCATGACCTGGTAGTAGCACCACAGACTGAACAGATAGGAGGTTGGTATGATGGTTGTTCTTGTATTTTTAAAATTTATTCAGACTCAATGGTTTTTTTTTTTATCTGTATGAACAGGTTTTGTATGAGATGTAGAATGATGTTGTGTTTTGATCTGACATTTGATTGAATTGTTCTTTACTTGGTAGAGCTGCATGTTTCGATGTTAATTCCATCAATTATGATAAGCCGGTGAGGGACCTGGATGTAGCATGTTACCAACAGTTATGATTTTAAAAAAAATGCAGAAGTGCTGCAAATGATTCAATTTGTAGAGTGATTTAATTTGTGGTGCAATTTAATTCAAAGGCATCAACAAATAAGACCTGTCGGGAAATTCATGCCCATGCACAAGACATAATTTTATGGGTATTTGCCATTGTTTTCAAATATTTCTACCTTTTTAGAGTCCTAGTAATATGAGATTAAAGTTTGCATCCTGACTGCAAACATTATTCTATTGACAAAATAATTGCAATAATTGTAAGTTAAAATCAGTTTTATATTTTGACCAGAACCTGCTAAGTATGGATGTAGACTGCTGCTACCACATGTGCCAATCATTCTACAATATTTGAAACAAATTGTTGAAAATTTGGTGAAACAATCCTTGAAGAAGAGAGCTTTTCCAACCAGAGACCTCAACATTTTATCAAGGTTAGTTTATTGCATTCATTTTATTGTCTTTTAAATTATGTCTAGATATAAAAAGATACATGGTAGTAATTAATTACAATTAATACAGATTATTGTTTTTTATATACACAATTAGCACACTGTCAGTATGTAACTAACAAACTAGATTCATTTGCAAATAAGAATTATTCAGTAGTTTCAGTTTTAGATATTTTTTGGAATGTTTATTTTCCCTGCCATTTGTATTATTTTAGGCTGAGTGCCTTTGTGAAGGATTCAGACCAAAGTGCCACACTGATCCAGCTGTTGCTTCCATTTTTGGAAAGAAATATCACCAGAACCCAGGTAGGGGTGTCTGTATGTGAGTGTGTGTGTGTCAGTGCATTTGTTGTTCAAATAGAGATCTCAACCTTCTTGGTAGCTCCTTAAAAATTAATTGGCTTATCATAATAATCCTTAATTCAAATACACATAAATTTAGTGAATTTTGTTCAAACCTTTGTAACTGCAATTATGGGCTTCCTTAATGTTATAAAATGTGTAATGAGAAAATCTGTTCATCTTTTTTCATCTAAGTAACAAACAAGATTATCATTTCATATTTTACTTCCAAAGGACGTTGAGGTGGATATTCTGCAGACAGTGGCAAATCTCATTAGACTGGTAGATGATCCAAAGGAATTTGTTCCGTAAGTATGAATTATGAGATAAAACAATTTGCATTTTATTTTTTTTGGAAGATGAAAATTATAACTAGGTTGTTGTTCATTAGAAATATTTGAAATGTACTCTGTTCCAGATAGGTTCATTGTTCAAAATGAATGACACATTTGTTTATAGAAACTTTGTAAGGAGTGATTGCTTAATCTAGACTTGTCTTTATTTCAGTCCTCTGTGCAAATTATTCTCCTCTTTACATTCTCGAGTCTCCAGAACAGCTTTATGTCACGTACTGAAGGTATTTAAATGCTATGTATTATTTCACTGAATTATTTGAGAATGCTGCAATAGAATTCAGGTGCACGTTGATTAAACTTGATAGAAAAAATCCATGTTGACCATATTAATATATACATACATGTCATACATGTGATTATAAAGATATTTACATGTCGCTTACATTTAAACTGGAGATTTCAAGCAGTTAGTTTCTAAAGGTTTCTTTTTGCCAAGATACATGTCACTATATTGATAATTTTCTTGTTACAGTGCATTTCAGAGAGAGATGAAAGCATAAGCATAATGGCCAATATTGTGCACAAGGTAAAAAAGAATCTCTTGGTTTTGAAATATTCTTGCAGTAACATTTTCCTTGATAATTTGAAAGCTGTAATCTTTTTATTTACAGGTTTTTGTGACAGTACCTGTTATTCTGTCAATAAACATTTTAATTGTGAACAATAGGTTGCATAGCACCTTTTCAGCAATTTTCATAAATTTGTCTTTTTAATATCGACTCTAATCTTTTTAAGAATTTATTTTCCAGCTGAATGCATGGGATGCAAGGCGGGTTGAAGAACCAGACTATATGACCAGATTAGATGCTTATAAAGAGATCAACCACATCATCCAAAAAATGGAGCCTTGTGTGCAGTTTTTGAGAATGGTCATTTATAACTGCTGCTTCTGTATAGGCAATGTAGGTATTTGATTTTTTACTAAATCCCATGAGGTGAAATTAGTAGAGAGAAGTAAATGTATTTTGTTACTTCTCAGTTCGGTTGCAATAAAACCTAAGAACAAATAACTATATATATATAATCCAAATAATTTACAGTTATATAAAATATATAGTAAAACCATTTCCTTTTACAATGTGAAAGTACCATATGGTATGACTTTTCGATATATAATGAAAAACATTAATTGTGCACAGAACACTATTGGTTGTTGTTTATCAATTTTTATGTTGTTGCATTTTAAAAGATAAGTATTTGAACATGATTTTGTCATAGGTGGATGACCTTTCTTTGAGAGACAATGCCTCATTCACCCTTCAAGAAATGGTAAAGACATTGGCCAGTAAAAACTATGATAATGAAGTCTTTGTGGAAGTTGTCCTAGACACACTTATACCGGAGATTAAACTAGGACTGAAAAACAAGACTGAGGTAAGATATAAGTTATGCAGAAGTTTTGTGTCTTAATATGTGAATTTGCCATTTAAATTCTGTTTTTGTTTTATGGTTAGGTCTATCATTGCAATCATAGCGTGAGTTCTTGGAGTTTTGCTAACATAGCAAGGATTACCTTATTTAGTAAAATTGATTTAAAAGATGACAAAAGAAGTAAGTTTTTATTTTTTTTTATTTAAAAAAAATTAATTTATTTAACTTGATGCTAATTTATTGCAATGATAAAGGGTTTGTTTATTACCTCCACCAAGAAGATTATGTTTTTGCCTTTGTTGGTTTGTTAGTTATAAAGCCTAACTCAAATAGTAAGAGACAGATTTTAATAACAGTCTAAGGATAGGTCAGAAATGGGCTAACTTAGAATCAAGATTTTGATGAGTAAATTGGTTAGTTAATTAATAAAAATGAGAGCTGACCTGCCCTGGTATAGGTCTACATTCTCTTAGTCTTTTTCTTGTTCTCTTTTTAATTTCATTCCTTTTAGGTGGTGAGACATGAAATGCTCAATCTTTTTTCTCTGGTAGTCAGACATTTCCAAACTCAGCCAAAGTTCTTAGACTTTGTAGCCTTAACAAACGAAGACTTGGAAGTGGACTTCTTTGAGAATATAAGACATATACAGGTAAAAAGTCTGCGAGATCAATTTTCTTTGAAATGTCAGATTAAAAGATCAATATCGCTTATGTATCATGTGCTTAATCTAGTAGACATGTTTACTTAAAAATAAATCCATAAGTAATAGGCCACATAATGCCTTGCTGCAAGAATGGTTTCTTTGATATATTAAAAAATAAATAATTTTAGTTATTAATATGTCATTTTTAAATATGTTTTATCTTTGTAGACACATAGAAGGTCCAGAGCCATGAGGCGTCTGATAAAGCACATGACTTCCACAAAACTGAAGAACGAATCCCTTCTCTCCTACATGCTTCCAATTGCCACATCATTTCTCACTGACAAGACATATGAAAAGGCTCAGCACTTGATTGAGGCAGCTGTAGACTTAGTTGGTGCCATCTGCAGGCAGTTGCCATGGGAACATTATCTTAGGATATTGAAATATTACCTTGGTCAACTGCCCAAAAGTTTAGAAAACCAAAAGTTAATGGTCAGGTGAGAGGATATTTTTATACTAAGTCCTCTGAGTTGATAAAAGGTTTATTAGTTACCTTACAAATTTATAAAATTATTGAAGTCATATGTGTTTCGAATACCATAACACATTTAAGGTTTTAATTGTTATTTCTTTTCATATTTATTAATTGTCAGAACACTTAATGTTACATTCCAGTATTTTGTAACAGTATTAGAAAACCTCCACTTTTTTAAAGTTATTAAATAGATGAAAGTTGTCTGTGTTCCAGGATTGTTGTAACAGTATTACAGGTCTTCCACTTTTGGTTAGTTACAATACATTCAAAATTTGAGTATATTCCAGGATTGTTGTGACGGTATTAGAAGCCTTCCACTTTGACCTGTCCAAGAGCAGAGGCATAGCTGGGGCAGTAGTCACAGAGCCCAGCAAAGATCAGGAACTTCCTCTGGAACAAGATGCGGAGGAGGAAAAAGAGGATGCTGATCTGGATGAAGACTTAGTACAGAATCAGGCAGAGGAAGTGAGCCCTGCAGTTGACAGTGTTGAGTCTGTGTTAGAGTCCCAGAAAAGTCCATGTGCTCCAGGTCTTGCCTCCAGGATACACAGGATGATTGTGAGGTCCATTCTACCAGAGTTGCACAGATGTTTGACTAAGAAGGTATGAATAGATCTGGTTTAGTAGTCATAGATTTAAAGATAATAGTCCTATATACACTAGTTTTAATGTGAAGACAAATAAGATTTGCTTTGCAGATGCATATTTGAATACATGAAGGATTACATGTTTATTGGACCTGTGTAAGTTCATAAGTATCTTGATCATATAAGTGGTATTTTTTTTCATAGTTTTGGTGTGAGAGCTTTTCAAACTCAGTGATTAGATGATTAAGATAGAAATAATGCATTGGATGTTTCTCCTTTCCCTTCAGACAAAGAGTGATGAGGAGCATAAACTTGCCCAACCCACAAAATATGCAGAGGATGAGGAGGTACTGAGGGTCCCCATTGCTTTGGCCATGGTCAAACTGCTGCAAAACCTACCAAAGGGTACCTTGGAGCATTCTTTGCCAAGGTAAAAGATGTGTTGATTTGGATATTAACAGGAAGCAAATCTTAACAATTTAAATAACCCCTTATTTTTCCCACTTTCAGATGACTTATACAAGTAAATGAATTGTTACAATTTACATTTTTTTACTAAGTCTTGTACTTTTTTTTTAGTTTGCTCATCAAGGTGTGTGAGTTTCTTCGATCCAGATCAAAAGACATTCGCAACATCACCAGAGATACATTAGTCAAAATTGTTGATTCACTGGGACCCAGCTTCTTCCACTATGTCCTGAAAGAATTGCGAGGTGCTCTTACGAAAGGTTATCAGTTGCATGTGCTGTCTTTTACTGTGCACTCTCTCTTAAAAAGTATGACAGCAATTCTCCGACCTGGGGATTTAGATAACTGTGTTCAGAGCCTAACTGAGGTGAGCTTGATTGAATTTATTAATTTTTTTCTTAAATTATTATTCATTTCATATCAACAAAAATGTTGTTATTTATTTATTTATTTATTTATTTATTTTAGTTTCAACAAAATTGTAGTCACTTGGGGAAATGTAAGAAAAATATTATTCCAAATGAATGAACTGGAATGTTTTGGTTTGTTTTTTTTTAATCATAATTTGATTTTCATTGATGATGCATTTTTATGCATATTACAGCTGAATTTAAGAATTATTTTCTTCAACTGTAAAGGGTTTTAATATAGATGTTATAGAAACTTTGACTCCTTTGTCAAGGTTTTCAGCAAGGAACTTTTTGGGCAAGTGGCAGAGGAGAAAGAAGTGGAGGGAATTGTGGGAAAACTGTTTGAAGCAAGAAGCAGCAAAAGTTATGATTCCTATGAGATTCTAGCAAAATTTATCAGCAAGTCATCTCTGACCTCATTGATCATACCTCTGAAAGAGGTGAGTTGTGACATGGGTTGTCAATTTGTTTTATATTAGTTTAAAAGTAACTGGGTGTCATTATTTCTCAAGCTTGCCTTGTTAAAAGTTTTTCTGTCATATTAATCTGGTTTGATTTTAAGCTGCCANATTAGTACCACCAGCGTGTACGCTGGCGGTACTCATGGTTTTAGTCCCGACCCGTCTCGTACAGCTCCGCTGGCTCCTGCGGCTCCGCAGTCGGGCGCCGGAAACAAGTCACCGTTACCGCTTCTCCTCCTAGACCGCAAGGACCTGTGTCCCCATCTCTTGGATTTGGGTCACATATAATCTCAACTTGAACACCCTGGTTTTTTTGTCTCCATCGGTGCACTGGCCTGGGCGTGACGCTTGTTGAAATGCACCCTTGTCAAAATTTTTGAAAATTCAATGCTAAATATCTCCCAAACCAAAGGAATTATGGGAAAAATTACTACAGAAGTCTGAACGAAAGTCATATGTGGAGATTCCAAATATGCCCTTGGATTTGACTTTTGACCTTTTTTCAAGGTCAAACAAGCCAAAATTTTCTGAAAATGGGAATTTTCTGTAAAAGATACTTGTTTGTGCTAATTTTTGGAAACTACGCAGCCCTAAGCTCTCCTGTTATAGTGAGGGGTTACCATTGGGGACTCCTTTCATCTTTGAGAGTTTGGGGTCAATCGGTGCATCTTCACGGGAGAAGCAGCCATTAGATACCGAAACCGAAAAACTTACTCTAAATCTGGAATGGTAAATGCCAGAGACCTCTTTTTTATTGCATTTTGTAGACCTTGTCAAGTGCAATACTGGGGGTGGTGTACATTTTTTTGTTTTTGATATGGTTTAGGCGTTGCCCTATATAAAAAATTACAACATCGCAATATTCAGTGGGGGAAATGTGAAATACTCCAAAATTAGCAGAGATACACCCATAGTTACTATTAAACTTGAATAGGAAGTCATATACTGGTAATCTGACTGTGACCTTGAAATTGACCTTTGACCTACTTTTCATTATGAACTGCACATTGCAAGTCTTCTGATCTTTATATCTCCAAAACTGGCAAAGGTACGCCCATAGTTACTATTGAACTTGAATAGGAAGTCATATACTGGTAATCTTAATATGATACTGAAATTGACCTTTGACCTACTTTTCACCATGAACTGAACTTTGCAAATTTTTCAACCCTTATATCTCCAAAACTGGCAAAGATACGCCCATAGTTACTACTGAACTTGAATAGGAAGTCATATACTGGCAATCTTAATATGATCCCAGAATTGACCTTTGACCTACTTTTCACCATGAACTGAACTATGCAAATTTTCCTTATATCTCGGAAACTGTCAGAGATACACCCAAAGTTACTATTGAACTTAAATAGGAAGTCATATTCTGGCAATCTTACTGTGACCTTGAAATTGACCTTTGACCTACTAATTATGATGAACTGTTTCCTGGCCTTCATATCTCCAAAATTGGCAAAGAAATGCCCATAGCTACTATTGAACTTCTATAGGAAGTCATATACTGTGACCTTGAAATTGACCTTTGACCTACTTTTTCACCACAAACTGAACTCTGCATATTTTCTTGCCCCTCATAACTTCAAAACTAGCAGAGATCTGCCTACTGTTGTCCCTAGGTTTTCTCTTTTGTCAGCAAATATGCAGTACTGATAACGCATTTCAAGGAAAACCAATAGGCCTATTGTCTAGAAAATCAAAGGAGTGATCAGTGTTAGGAAAATACAGCTCAGTTTGAACATCTGCTTGATTTGAACAGTTACGCTTGTTCGATATATATATATATATATATATTTTTTTTTTTTTTGCATATTTTGAGAACTCTTGTTTATTGCATTTTATAGAGCTTGTCAAGCATAAGACTGGTGGTGGTGTTCATTTTTTGGGGGGTGGGGTTTCCATGAGAATGCGCTTACTCCAGCTGGTGGTACAATATCCAGAGGCGGTATCGCCTCTCTGATCCTCTAGTCTGGTTTGATTTTAAGCTGCTATCCACCATGAAAAAATATGGCTTGGAATTTCCTGACCTCCTCACATCATGACAAATTCAACCCCGTGTACACCCCTTTAAGCTGCTTATCTACAGGCACAGGATTATTTGGAACTACACTATAATTGCACTGATACTAAATTCCCACATAAGTTCAACACCCATTGCTGAGTGGGTAATGTATAGGGGATTAGAAAGTGATCTGTGAGGATGCAGCAGCGATGATTGCCAATAGTAGGTCACTGATCTATGCAACTTGGCTTTACCCTACACCATCAGTAGATGGAAGGGCCTACTTTTGTCCTTTATTAAACCAACAACCAGAAGAAAGGCTATGGCTTTCAGGACATATGCACTCTCCCATTTACATTTCATTTTTCGACTTCATTATTCTTATAGTTTTCAGTAGCTCCACCTCACTGCTACCTTATTTATAGCTGTAAACCTTGGCACTACACAAGGTTCTTTAAGAGCAAGCGCATGATGATAGTGTTGCAAAAAAAAAGCTCCATATTTAAGAATCCTCCAAACTACATTTATTTTGGTAAGGTATGCCTATGCATTTAATTACTTATTGGTGAGTTGTATCCTTTCCACAGTGACTATATAAAAAGAGGACATTGGTAGGAATTAAATGATGTTTATGATGGTCTTAATCTTCCTGCTTGGCATTGATACATCAATTCTTATCGTATCTGTACCAGGAGAAAATGTTTCAGCTGGAAATATGACATTTTCTAAGCATACTTTTTTCACTGAGTTTCATGCAAAGGCATTATGACTTGATCAAGTCAAAAACAACATAACAAGTCACAAACCAAGCACCTGCTGTTTTTGTGAAAACTTGCACTTATTGTGCCAAACAGGAAATCCTCTAAGACTGGGTTCCCATACTTAGATTGGTCCACCTGGATCGACCTAACTCCCTGGGGAGTCTCACTAAATTGCTATCAAATAACAGGCTTTTTTGTCTGTCACACCTACCGAATCACCCCCTAACAGCTTTACTAGGCGTGACAGACATTTAAGCCGGTCAAGTTGACAGCAATTTAGTGAGACTCCCCAGGGAGATAGATCGATCCAAATATCTGTGGAAATGGTCTCTTAGGCTCAGTAACAGTGTTAATACAATACTAAGCAACCTTCCAGGTAAGCTTTACCTCATTATCTCACTGTGTAAATTATGCCGTGCCAAGATAAGCTGTTTAATAAAGCATTGATCTCTACCGGTTCTCTAATTGAGCTCATATTACCATTAGCCTTAATTGCTTATAAGCAGGAATAAAACATACGCAGTATTGGTGATATCCATTTCCAGTATCTAAATTACAAAGTGTATATTTATATATCCTTTTTTTTTCAATTAATATATAAAAACACCATACTACTGCTATTGGTACTTAATGGTTACTAGGCCTAATCCTTGGAACTATGATTATATTTTTTCTGATGGATGACTTTTTTGTAAAAAGGACATGTAAAATCATAGGCAGTAAGAATAGTCTTCCTGTTTTCTTTTAAAAACCCCATTCACTGTCTATAGTGAGCAAAGCTTCTTATTTTCAAGACTTAACTCATCATGCAGTTGTCACATTGTAAGTTTGTTTGCATCTTTAAAATGATCCTTGAGGTGGCTTCAATTCTTTCAGGTCCTTGACTCCACACACAGTCACAAAATTTCCAAGAAAGTCCAAGAAGTCTTAAGAAGGGTCACACTGGGACTCATTGAGAATAAAGAACTGAAAGAAGAGACATTGCTTATCTTTATACATGGTCTTGCCAATGAGGCTCTTCCATTAATCACTCCAGATCAGAAGTAAATACCTTTCTTTTTAGCAGATTTTTTTGTTATTTTTACAACACATTTGTATCTTAATGTAAAAGTAAGGGGAAATTTGCACATTTTATAGTGAGCAAAGCTTCTGCTATTAATGTTTTATTGGTATAATTTCTAAAAGCATAGTTATTAAAGGGATTTTACAAATTAAGGTGGCCATTGGGCTTTTTTGAACTTGATGATATAAGTTTGATTCAAGTTTATTTGTAATTTCAGAGACAAGTCAAATATGTCAAAACCTCCACCAGACCCACGTCTCCATCCTCCAAGCACATTGTTGCTCACGTCTGCTCCACCACGTGGAGGTGTCAAACCATCAGGCAACCAAAAGACAAACATGCACATCTTGGTTGACTTTGGGCTACAGGTATGATTTGATGATTGATGTTATAGTGGCTTATACATCAAAAATTGACAAACATGCATGATATATGTTGAATTTCCGTAACCCACCTTAAAACTTATAAATAATTTTTTGTCTGCTATTGGTTTTAAATTATAACAGTTACAGTAAATATATGTGTTGATTCAAGAACAAATTATACTGTCACTTTTTCTTACATATGAAAGGTATATTAAAAGCCAGACAGCTTTGTCAAAACTGTTACATTATATTTGAAACATTTCCATACCATTTCCAGTTGTTATACATGCTACTGAAGAGATCTAGAGTAGTGGCTAGCAACACCCAGAACTTACAGATGTTAGACCCATTCATAGAAATATTGTCAAACTGCCTGTATTCAAAACACGTCAAGGTATGGTTGACACGATATAATAAGTTCCTGTTGTCTGTAACTTTTGAAACAAGTAGTTACTGTAGATACAAATTTTGATAAAACAATGTATATGAAATAAATGTATATTTATGTACGAAACAATTTTTCATATGGTATTCTGAGCCTTAAAATGATCTGATGGATTTCACAAATTAGTGCAGAATATTGGTATCTGATTATACAAGGCTAGCATGACTCGCTAAAAAGGTGTACATTTCAGGTTGTAACCACATCTTTGCGATGCCTAAGCTGGATGCTGAAGTTTCCCCTTCCTTCTCTAAAGGATCATATTACCAAAATCACAAATCAACTGTTTGTTCTGCTCAAGAACTATGCCACAGCAGGGGGAGCTCAGGGGGAGAACTTTGAATTGGTGGTTAGCTGCTTTAAGGTAAAACAACATAGGCTGGCCAGTAGGCAGGGGGCTGGATTGGGGAGGGGGACGGGGAAGGTCAGCTCTGAATCAAAATTTGATCTGTGTTCTTAGAATTCACAAAGGTTTCACAGTAAAAAGGCACATTTTCCAGAAAAAGACACTTCATCCCCCTTGAAATTGTTATCTAGAGACTTGGTTTTGGGTGCTGGTTTTCTAATAACTGAGAAATCATTTATGGGTTGAATTAATAGAGCATGGTAGACTACTTTTTATAATGACTTATCCTAGTTGTTTTTAGTTTTTGTTATAGCCCATATGTAATAAGGAGAAAATCCAGAAAGAATTAATTATATGGCAGCAAAACAAATATTAACTAGGGATGCTATATGGAGGTGTAATCCAATTTCTTAAGCCAAATCCCATTGAGGTTTCCCTAAATTTGATCAAATGATTTATTTTGAACACATATATTAGGTAGAATAGGTTATTTTGAACAAAGCTGCTTGATACGTCAGTTGATATAATTGTCTCACCATTAAAATGTTTGCTGCTGATGTTAAATTGCTTACTACAATTCACATAATTACAATGCATTATTAAAGTAATTTTTATCAAATTGTGAATAGTATAGTTTGGCACAGATGTTTACATTTGAAATGTTTTGCTTTAAAAAGAGTAATAAATGTTGATAGCTGTTTGTTATATTTGCAGACAATAACTGTCTTGGTGCGAGATGTAAAATTTCACAGTGTAGACACCAATCAGCTTCAGATCTTACTGGGCTATGTAGAGGAAGACATGCATGATTTCAACAGACAGGCAACAGCTTTTGGGCTTCTCAAAGTAAGTAACATAAATATGTGAATTTTTGGAATTTTTCATAGTTATATCTTAGCTGTTTATCAATGCCTTAAGGTGCAAAGGCAGTTATGCATGTTTTATTATTGTTTCACTTGCTGGCAGTACTCATTTGCAATATTTAAAGAAGCATGTTATTAGGTACAGATGACTATGAAATTACATAATACCATGTAGTATTTAATGTGAATTACGTATGTGATAAGTGTTAAATGGCAGATGATCAGAATGCTTTGTTCAGATATAGTGCAGTGATATTCTTTTTGACAAAAAACAATCTAGAAAGGTTTTAAAAGCTGATTGTTTTGCAGGCCATCTTATCAAGGAAGCTACTTGTACCTGAAATTCATGAAATTATAGGAAAAGTAGCACAGTTATCCATAACTGCAGATGCTCCCAATGTCCGACTTCAGAGCAGACAGGTAATTTTCCTTTTGTTGATGTCTTTTAAATTTCTTTATCATCAGATTCACGATAATTTGCATGCTCACTAATATACACTTGATTGAAAAATGCTTGAATATTTTTTATATTTGTGTCTTTCTACAAGTTGCCCTGCAGGATTGCCAAGCAAAAAATTCATTTTTACCATGATTTGTTTATAATATTTTTGTGCTTTGCATTATACCCCACAATATTTGAATTATAATATATTAAATTACTAAAAGATCAAAATTTGTTATGTGTGACCAATTTTTTCTTCTTTTTTCCCCTCCAAATGCAATATGAATAAGCTGAATGAAGTAACCAATTAGATTTCACTGTATTCTTATTTTAATTAAGAAATTACCTTTTATAATGTTGCGATGATGAGTCTACAGTTCTGTAAAGTATAAGATTTGGTTCTGAAGTCTGTGAAAATTATTGTCATAAGCTGCTCACCAGAAAAATATTAATGGGGATATGATGATATTCACATTATGCCTGTTATAAATTCTAAACTGTTACAGTACTTTCATATTATCATGTTGGAGAGTTGATAAAGTATTTGACCAGCATGTATACATATAAAGTGACATGATGGTTGAGATGTGTGTGGTTCTTTTGTGGAATTTTCAGCTTTTTAAAATTATCTATTTATTATCATTATTATAGATTTTAACTGAAGTTTAGCTAATAAAATGTAATGAAAGAGTCTCTTCAATAAAAAAATGTTATCTTATTTCAGCAGATCATTATTTCCTAGAGTACATGAATACTTGAGTACTTTGTTTTGTTGAAGTTAGCTCTCTCTCTTTCCATATATATAGTTAAGAGAACACCTTAATACTCTCATTAAGATGTTTAAGTGTACTGAGAGAGGGTAGTGGCCACAATTAAGGTGTACTTATTTGTCAAAGACGTCATCACAAAATAGCCTTAATTAAGTTTCAAGTTTAGCCTAAATCTGAAACATGATATAACTGCCTTGATTATACTGCCATGTGGCTTAGGGTAAAGATGAGTCACATTTTGTACCAGATGAAGTAGATAAATTGGGGTCAGTTCTATGTTCCAAAGGTTTGGTATTTAAAAAAAATTAAAGGGGCCTTGGTAATCCGGGTGAGCACTGACCTCCATGTTAGAGAAACACATTTAAGAGTCTGACTCACATTTGCATTTATTTTTTTTTTTATTTTTTTTTTATTTTATTTATTATTTTTTTTTTTTTGTGTGTGTGTGTGTGTGTGATTTGCACAGATTTTGCACGAGTAATTTCTTATGATAGCAACTAAGTGTGTAGCTCATCCTACTATGCTTTGTTGTAAGTATGCTCAAAGCCCAATGACTATATCAAATAATTCGCGAAGAGTGCTTTGGCTGTTACAACATTAGCACCCACTAGTGATTTATTTACTATACTTTGTTTGCTATATTTGCTCTATCTGTACCTGTATGCATATCGGAATGGTCAACCTTTGCCGTAACGTAGAATATTAAATTGCATTTTTTAAATTACATTCTAAGGTTTTTGGCTTGAAACCTTTTTAATTTGATGTGCTGCAACAGCATTACTGAATCAAATACTCTGCTTGACAAATCTAGGACAACATATGGTGGACACCTGCATTTCACAGTTGTCATCTTTTTATGTTTCGACCTTAAAAACCACCATTGCAATTACTTCGACCTCATCCCTACCCACAAATTTCAAGGTATGCTTACAGGTTTGAACATTTCCCGGAGCTATTATTATATTTTCTATATGTCTGCATATCCTGCAAAGCCACATAATATTTTCCCATTCTGAACTTAAAAAGCATAAAACCCCTCAAAGAAATGCTCCTGGTGTCATAAGTTCTTGCTGAAATGTACATAATGTCATACTTAATGACTGGCCAACCATTTTGAACTAACTTATTGAAATTTTAAAAATTTCATAAAAGGGTCGAGCACTGATCTGGGAGTAAGAAATGTTGTTTTTTATTTTCCCCTACAGAAAAATTCATTTTGACAGTTAAATCCCAAACAGTACCTTAAAGAGCTTCCTTTCCAACCTACAAACTTCCTCCTTAACTCTCGCCTACACAGTTTCTTACATAATCTTTTACTGAAGCCACTGTATCAATTTGCAGTTAATTTAAACCATGGTAAATCCTAGCTAGGTCTCCCTACTTTTGCATAGAGCTGGTCACTACTAATAAATTGCAACTGCATTTGATCAATAAATTAATTCAATAAAATTCCAAAATTGTATTCTTCATTTGGAAATTCCACAAATTAGTTTTTGTAGTCAGTGAAGATTACATTTTCTGATTTATTATTATCTTATATTTCATTTTTGTATGTAATATATTTATATATTCAATCGTCTTTAAATTGTAGGTTGTTCTTCAGTTTATGTTGGATTATCCTTTGGGTAAACAACTGAAAAAGCACCTAGAATTCTATGTGACAAATTTGCAGTTTGAGCTAGAATCTGGACGTGAATCTGCCTTAGAGATGTTGGCAACCATATTTTCCAGTTTTCCACAGGTTGGTTAGATTGTTACAAATACTATATTTACCTCACATGACAAAGAACTGTTATTATTAGTTATTTTACAAAGTATAACCACTAACTTGTGTAATGGATCATTTCTACTGACATTTGTTGGAAATTTTCAAAAGTGAGAAGATTACATTATTAATACGAGAGTCTCATTTTATGCGAGAGCATATGCGCACTTCTGTTTTTTTGTCGAGCGAGAATGGCACGTGATGCCAGAAAATGGCACAAAGCTCATTAAATATTATGGCTGATAAGGTCGAAAATAGACCAAAAGTTTAAAAAAATACCGCACGACCATAAAACCTTCCAACGGGAAGTCAAAAGTAAGTGGTGACGCATCACAATTTCTAACACAGAATCAAATATTGACGCAGAGTAATGTTAATGTGGGAATTGAAAATGGGGCATCAACAATTATGATTATGACCTATTATTTATATTAGAAACTCCATAGAATTTCAATTAAATTTCAATAAATCTCATTTAATTTTTTAATTAAACCTCATTATTTGGTAATGATCCATTAAAATGTTGCACATTGCAATGAGGAGTAACTCTAGAAAGGAGCCATTTTTTCATGACTATAAGATTTTGTGACCTTTGTTTTGGAATAAACATTTACATGAGCATTATTGTTTCAGAATATCCTTACTGAACATGCAGGCTTCTTTTTTGTACCAATGGCCGCCTCTCTTGTCAATGATGAGTCTGCACAGTGCAGGAAGTTAACTGCTTTGGCCATCAAGTCTTTACTGTCAAAGGTATTAACTAATGCCATGGATTTAGGGCATAATCACCTCTCAATTCTCCACTTAAATATTTTTTTATTAAATTTAGTTTCCCAAGAGGTTTCTTGGATTTATTTGGTTTTCAAAAGGGGGTTAAAGGTTAAATTGATAGACCTTCCCATTGTATAAAATTAGGTCCATGAAATAATGTCACCTTTGATGGCGGACAGCATCTATTGATGTTTACACTTGTTTGAAATAGGAGTTGCAAAGGACCCCTACACAAAATTGATTGTATTGTGACATTTGTCATGCAGTTTATGTTTATGTTTCAATTGTTGTTTTAGCTTAATTTCCATGCACATTTTTTCATTTTTCAGCTTCACAGTGACCAGAGAGATGAGTTATTAAATATTGCCATGCTGTGGTTTCAAGATGAGAAGGTAAGAATGGGGATCCGGAATTTAAGGCAAATATGAATTCAGTGAATTTGTTACTTTAATTTTGTTATATTTTTTAATATTTGTACATGTATATGTCACTTAGACAATGAAGTCACCAGAAAAAAGTTAAATGTATTGGTGCCTTTAACATATTGCGCTTACATTTGTGGTTAGGTTGAGTATACACTTTGCTTTTGCCAGAATGTCTCCTGTTCCCTTAATGAATATTTGACATTTTGTTTTGGTTGTAAAAGATAATGCAGTCTATGATCTGGTTCATTTGATATACTAATTAACAATTTTTTTTGCATGCAGTGAGCCATCTTTCACTCAGTAGTTCAAGTTTACTATGTTCACAAGCAGCATTATATTCAAGATCGGGATAAATTATCTTAAGAGCTCTTTCTTGAGACTTTTCTACCAGGGCAGTCAATTCATTCATTAACCCAAAGTATCAGACAGGGGAAGCATATTTTAAAACTGGCCTTTAATAAAGGAAGAATTTCTTCGATCTACAGCTAATATTGACAGCTGATATTACCTCCAATATTTCAATGTCTATCAGATCATCTTCATCAGATAATGAGGCTATCAAGGTGAACATTCTTAGATTGTTTGTTTAGCTTACAGTTTACCTAAAGAAATTTTGACTGCCTCCTTGAAAAATACAAAAATTAGTTTATGGTAGAGTATGAAATATGTTGCAAAATTACTGTATATTTTCCCAAGAAATCATTTTTTACCCATGAAGATGTCCTTTACAAGGCTTGTTATCACCTGATAAATTACTACAGTTAGAGAAACTACAATGTACATAACTCTGCTGATCTTCTTCTTATATTTGCTGACAATTATTTAAGAAGACTATTAAAAATAGGTTTCTTTGATTTTTTTTTTTTTTTACAAGTGAAGCACAGGAGACTTGTTACCTCCTGTTGAGCCATTACTACACATACCAAATTACTCTTGGCAAGTAAAAAATAAATGTCAAGGAAGATGCATGCTTATTGAATGGTGTATACCAGCCAGCTTGGCACCAGATCTCACTAAAGCATCCATTTTGTGAATTAAACCGTTTGAGACTACTGGCAATTTTCATGATAAACATGCTTCAGTATTGGTGCGTACTTGAATGTGAAAATGGACATGGTGAGCATCAGTTTTCCAAGTATTCAGGGCTATGTCTGAAATGGAGGTTGCCTTCAATTGCAGCTGCACAAACACAAAATGCCTCAGGAACTCCTGTCTAAGAGACCATTCTCACAGATATTTGGATCAATCTATCCCCCTGGGGAGTCTCACTTGATAGCTGTCAGCTTAACCGGCTTAAATGTCTGTCCAGTCTACTAAAAGCTGTAAGGAGGTAATTAACTTTTGTGCATGCTAGGCTTCCGGAAGCTGACAGCAATTTAGCGTGAACCCCCAGAGAGTTAGGTCGATCCAGATGGATCGATCTAAATCTGAGGGAACCCAGTCTAATTAAAGGTGGTGATAGGTGTGAAACACCCACGTTTTCTTTGGTGTTTTTCTCAGCTGACAGCTGTGAAGATAACATTTTACTTGGTTTGGTAAGTTTTTGTTTGGTAGGTTTCCAACTCTTGAAATTACACTTTCTTAAAGATAAAGAAATGTCCAAAAAACATTGCTCATGTTGATTCCTATATTTTTCTGAATTTACAAAGACTGTCAACCTGTTCATTTATAATGAAATCAATGTCATTAAATAAATGAAAAATAATTGCTCATGCCAGGCAAGGAAAGAAAAAAAAGCACTAAGGCCATAAGGCATTCTCTATATCAGCTCTTATTATTTTTAAGGATATTGTCACCCTTCTCCCAAAACTTCTTATTTACTGCCTTACATATATTCTTTTGCGTATTAAATAAATCTTTGAAGTGTTCTATGACCAAATTAATTAACATTTACACGTCATCTCACGGGATTGTAGCCTTTTCACTCCTGGTCAACTCTGCCAACTTTTCAATCAATTCATATTTTATTCTCCTTGTCATGGATCCACATTTGAATTATTTGTGTTTAATTAGTTTACCCGTGTTTACAATCCATGTTAAAGTATGGTGTAAAATCGCGAGCAAGATTAAGGCCGGTGATAGTAAAAGGACCAAAGTCATAGAAACAAAGCCCTGGGCTTATAAGTTTTTATAAAAAATTAAAACAAACTTCCCAAAAGGCCAATTAAAGACGGGGATTAAGTACAGTGTCCAACGGATGACGCTCTGGCGCCAATTTGAGGGGAAAAATGCCGTTTTCGGTATTGGGATTTTCTCTATAACCAAGACAGCTATTCAAGTGATTCAAAAGGCCTAATAAAGCTGGGTGAAAGCACTTCAGCGCGGTACCAGGGAATTGTCTTAAACTATTTACTTTTGATTTTATCATCTTTTACGTTAAATTACCCCATATTTCAATGGCTTATTCACTTCAAAAGGCGATATCTTTCAAACAAACAATTTTCTCTTAAACCCCTGATATCATGCTGTAGTCCACATTCCTAACAACAATAGGTGCAACTTTTGTAACGATCGGTTGCTCAGATAGTGAGATATACTTGGCAGCGATTCACTTATCTCGTCAATATAGAAAGCTGTTAAAACAGCCAAAAACGTTCACAGGTTGGTTAACAGGGCTTATTAGTCAAATGCTTAGCTGGCAAATTTACCTGTTATCGGTTATACGATCAGCTGGAACCATTGCTTATTGTCATCTAAAAATATTTTGTTTGGGTGCTTTGAAGGGGCAGAAAATCGTGCTTTTGTTACATTTTCCGACCACTCGTTAGGCATGTAAGCGTGCCGCCATTTTGATTGACAGCTCTGGAGAGGGCCCTAGCCTTGTGATGCCCAGTAGGGTGTCAAGGATATGTAGAAGGAAGCGCTAACAAAGGCGATTACGTTTAACCGCAATTAAGAGGTGTGAAGTTGCATTTGAACGTTTCAATGGCTCTTCCTCGGCAATCGAGTAATTTTACCTGAGAGATTCCTTCTTTGTTATCGGCAAAGTGATCAGATAAAACTGTGTCGAGAGCAAGTGTCCGTCACTTGTGTTGATACGAGTTTTTTGACGGGTAACGCTGCAGGATTATTTTGCACGGCACTTGGTAGTCGTCAGATCAACGGAAAAATCCAGTGATTACTTCAGAGCGGTCTCGCTCAAAATGCCAGCTAAGATAAAGGGGAGACGCTCAGCTGCACAAGATTCAGCGGTAAAAGTGGCTGAGAGAAGGCTTTTGAATAAATATTTTATTTTTACACACATGACACTTAGACCCTATTTGCTTTTTACCTGCTAGCCTTGACTATTCTCGGGGTCTTTTTGTGATTTTCATTTTTGGACACTTGAACTCTTTCTTCCCGCTTGATCAGTGATTTTGAAATTGTTTTNTGTACAGGGTTATAAATTGCATGCACTAGTGAAGAGATAAATAGACTTTACCTGAATTTTATTACAGATTACTCTGAGGCGTTCTTTCCAAATTGATGTAGATCTAGAGCCAGTAAAAAGCACAAAAGAAAAACCCAGGACAAAGGCGCGCTAGTCAACAACACAGATTCTCTTTGCAAATCAAAAAAGTTTAATAAAAATGCTGTTGGTTTGGTTGTTAAAATGTTTGAAATGCATTTTTGTAATAAATAGTGGGCCACGTGTTATGGAAACTACAGTATATTTTCCAGGCACCTCATCTGTTCATACACATACTATCCCTAGCGAGCTATTTAGCCAGTACTTGCTGACATTCAATCACCACTCAGAGCAATCACTGCATAAGCCGTTCGTGGTTTTAGTCACTATTAATAATAGTCCAAGTTTCATTTTATGTAGCCAGCACGTAAGCACCCGAATAATCTAATATTCTGTTAAGCTATTAATGTATCGTCATGTCTAAAGTGCATCTTTTCTTTAATTTAAAATGCAATGATTGCATATAATATAAACGTGCAGTAGACTAAATTAGATGAAGAAAGCGCGTCCTAATCAGGCATTTAAATACAGCATTTTTGACGTAAGAGCTCAGAATTGTTGTGGTACTTTTGCACTAGAAAAGTGTAATTCAACCGAAAATCTTATTTGTACCCACATCTCATAATTGATTTTTTTTTCAGACACTTCACCCCCAAATCCTTAATTCTCCCCGGACTTTCAGTGTGTCGTACTTCTACTGACGTCTGTCTGCAGACGACATCGATCTCTCTCAGTAACATAGATCCACAGTGTTATCTTATCTAATCTAATCTAATCTGATCAATTTGAAAAACACAACCAATCTAAAACTGCTTTTAACTTTTCGTCTGAGAAATAAGTCTGCGTGCTTTCACCTCAGTGAAAATCCGAGTCAAACGTTGAACTTGGATTGTTTTCCTTCTGGGTCTCCTTGGCTCCCTATTACATGGGTTTGTTTGCACGAGTAGCACAAGACTAGATCAACACAGCACCGTTTGTTTTAATAAACGTAGTTTGTTGGACTGAGAATTTGCATCCCTTTTAAACTGCTGAGATTACATTATTAGATTGTTATTAATGCACGTATAGCGATCTCTAGTGAACCTTTTTTGATAGTCATTCATAAGCTTTATATAAGGGAGACACTACAGGTACGTAAGAAGTATATGCTGTCATGGTTACGTATTCTAAGTATCACATCAATTGGTAGACATGTTGCACCATGTATCGCTTAATTGTTCCACAAGAGAGTGTTGTTGCTTCAGCTGCCAACCAGATTGAAGGTAACGTGTTCCATCTTTATATGCTGCACGACCAATACAACAGGAATAAAGTTTTAGACACTAAAATATACTTTTAAAAGGGATACTACGAAGGCATTGTCCTTTACTTTCTGAATATCATTATATATATAGTACCATATCGCCGGAAGCACTCTTGGTTCGCAACATACAGACTGTACAGCGTGCAAGTGACGGCCCCAGAACCTGGCCTACTTGACCTACAAAGACGATCTTGTAAGGTAAGTGCTGTGTCCAGCGTGTTGCTTCGGAGTTATGCAGATTTAGCTGCAAATGTTACGATTATATTTCTAAGACGACGTCAAATACAGTTGATAATCCTAGGTCACAAAGCAACAGCCTTGATAGCAGTGACTGCTACACAGTACTTAATTGGCTTGAAGGTGGCGGCACGCATTGTTTACAACAGTTTGGGCACCAACTTGGTAGTTTCTCTGAGAACTGACGAACCATATCGTCTACACTCATGCATATAGAGGCACCGAGATAGAACACTGCTGCTCCCCAGCCTAGCCCAAAACCGAAACCGAAACTGTGGTCCGGAAGCTTCAAGACAAGCTCTGTTCCTACGGGAAAAGTGACCAAGGCCGCCACTGCTGCTAACGCTGAAAAATAAAGAACGGGTAATAATGAGAGGGCATGATGTATGCAAATAAGTGTATGAAATACATTCAAACATTTTCAAAAGTAAATCATCTATACCAACAAACTAAACTTTTATTTTAGCACCTTCCCCATGCTTTCAAAATGGTTCTTACAATCAATCTCACCAACTGCATTTTGTGTTTGTTCACTCAGCAACTGAGTAATTGTGATAAAATGTGTTTATAAGGATTGTTTACACGAAAATGTATATTATTGCTCAGAATATTGTTTACAATATTAAAACTTTTAAATATTTCTTGAAATGCTGAAATCTATTGAGACACAAACCAATATGCGTGAATATCTTTTCATGAAGGCGTTAACCTCTTTCAACGCCTTTCGGTAGGTTGAGAAATATATTACGTAATTAAATGATGGTATGTGGTTTAAGATAGATCCTACACGTATTTTAGCTTGTTTAAGCTGATTTTTTTTCTCTAAGCCTATCAAATATCAATTTACAAATACAGATGCTATATACCATATTATTTATAAGTCGTTTGCATTTGCCGGGAAAAGGTCCGCTGTGGGTAAAATTTGATCCAGGTTCACGAAGGTTACATTTTTCAGAAAACGACTCCCCCCTTCCACCTTTGAAACTGCTGACTACGGACCGGGATTATAATCTTTTTTGATTTGATGACTGTAAAATCATGAACATCGCCACAATATGATGTAGAATAGAAGCATTTTTATCCCCGTGCCACTCGTATATTGGATACGATGCATGCTGTGTCGGATATAGCTCTGTGTTCCCAGCTACCTGTATCTCTGAAACTCTGGGCGACACAGCAATGATCAGACTTAAATTTGGATAATGGATTATATTGTCGCTGTTATTAGGACGTAGGCTGCCATGTAATAGCTGCATAATGGCTTAATCAATAACATATCAAATAAAGTAATTCATTTTGCACAGCCTGATATACATATATCATCGTCAGTGCTGTCATAACTAGGGAACCTTCTATTCCCATTTCTGTCTACGCATGCATACAGAAATTTGAAAACTCACAACAAAGAGGTATTTGGGGATTAACTATCTCGGGATTGGGGTGGGGGGGGGGGGGGGGGGGAGGGGGGGAGGGGTACGCGGATGCGAAGCCGACCACCTCCCTCCCTCCTGGCGTATTTCCTTAGGTTCGGGGCCCCCAAAACTTAGGTATTTTAGAGTACGAATGGTGTCATACGGTACGGTTTAGAACTATGATTCAACTTGTCAAAATTCTAATTCCAAGAGGGGAATATTACTTTGATTTTTTTTTCAGAACCCCCCCCCCCCCCCCGACCACACCTCTAAATCTGCCACTGTATAGCATCGTTCTGCGCGGAGTAAATTCGACGGTTTGGGGAGGGGGGTCAAACCTTTTCTGACTTATGATTACACTGTTTTTGTTATCATTGTTATTTTATTTATTTACCTATTTGCACGATAAGAGGAAAGATTACCCACGCGTCCGGTTGTCGGCTGGATTGTAAGATGTACGTCTTTAAGCATATAAACCGCATAATTTAACTTCTAAAAAAAAAAAAAAAAACGTTGAGACGTTTCCTGTTAACGCTGTGTACTTAACTGACACATTTTAAAACTAGCCCCGTCTTCCTCCCAAGATTTGAAGTCCTAAGTTCCACGGGAATAAATTTATTTTATTGCGATTTAATGACGCGGAGGCATCGCTTTGCAAAACAAACTTAACAATATATTGTTTTTATTCTACAAGTAAGACAAGTAAGAAAAGAACATAGTCAGCAAATTAAACTCAATTATTGTAATAACTTTGGGTATCCTTAACATTAGTTCTAACGATCGAAATAGGACCGTTAACTTTAATATAATTTTTAACGATCTCTCTCAAGGAGTACGTAAGACTTTTTCTTCACAGTTTATTAGAAATCTTTCTTTCTTCATTCAGAAGCACAGCAGGGGTGCGATTTCTACAGGTGCTGTATGTCACAAATCAGAGCAAAATCTGTTGAGTGTTCACAGTTATGTAATGGAAAGATTGATAATTTTCCCCATTGAAATAATACCATTACCGTTCGTCTTTAATACTGACACAACCCGGACATTTTTCTACCTACTGAGCCGTCTCAATTGGGAAGTGAATTGAACAAGATTTTGGCATATTAGTCATTTATTGGCATACTAGTCATATACGCGAGTTATTTTTGTGACATCCTATTTTTAGTACATTGTTGTAGACATTATCCAGGTGAACCATCTTGTGTTGTATAACTAATTCCACCGACTGCACTTTTTGCAGAGTTCCCGGCAGAGTTGGACCAGCCCAGTTAGTATAAAGTGTGAATCTGACTAGACTCTTCGCAACTGCTTTTGACAGCTGGCTTCTCAACCTATTTTTAATTAAGTAATGAAAGATGAATGTATGAAGTAGATGTGTATGTCTTCAGAACAGTAGGCTTAATTTGTGACATGCAACATTCACATCCCTGGCATATACATGCCGTACATGTAAGGATTAGGGTTATCTCCGTGATAAACAGCCTCTGGAGTAGGGAACACATTACTGGAGTGTGGACCCCTAAATGAGGTTTCCATGTGCTGAGATCTAAATGTACTATCAGTGTTCTGAGGTCTGAATGTACTCTCACTGTGCTGGGGTCTATATGTGCTATCAAACTGTTGACTGATGAATGAACTGTCCAACTGCTGACTCATTACCAAGCCATCAGAGTTCTCACTGTTAAAGTCATCTTCAGGGTGCTGACTTCTGTGATTTTTTGCTGGACTTTTTGCTTTACTTTCAGATGGTCGCTGTTTAACTGGTTTCTCTCCAGTATGACTTTTTTCATGTGCATTGCAATTAGATTTTCTGATGAATGCTTTATCACAGTACTTGCATTTAAATGGTCTCTCCCCAGTGTGAGTCCTTTCATGTGTAGCAAGGGTGCCTCTGTCACGGAAACCTTTTCCACAGTATGAGCACACATGCGGCTTAATGCCAAGGTGGGTTTTCACATGATCTCTCCAATTAGATTTCCTCACAAATCTTCTGTCACAATAATCACACTTAAAAGGCTTTTCACCAGTGTGAAACCGTTCATGTTCTTCACAGGCTAATTTTACAGGAAAGCCCTGTCCACAGTACTGGCATTTATATGGTTTTTCGCGAGTGTGTTGGGTCCTTTCATGTAACTTCAAAGTTGAACTTTGAGCAAAGCTTTTGGTACAGTACTGACATAGATAGGGCTTCTCTCCTGTGTGGCATCTTTCATGCACTTCTAAGTCAACCCGAGAGGCAAATGACTTATCACAGGTATTACATTTATGTGGTTTCTCCCCAGTGTGAATCTTTTCATGCTTATTGAGAGCTTTCATTCCCCAGCACGTTTTTCCACAATGAGAGCATTTAAATTCATGCACTTTCTCGTGCTCTACTAAATCATCTTTCCTGATAAAAGATTGTTCACATTGTTTACATTTCAGTCTGTCCCCTGTGTGAATCATTTCATGTAAAACAAGTGCACTTCTCCTGCTGAATGTTTTATCACAATGTGAGCACCTGCATATTTTGGTATTGGAGTTTGACTTTTCCACAGAATGAATTTTCTCATGTTTGTAAAGAGCTCTCATGCCCCGACATGTTTTACCACAATGAGAACATTTCAATTCATGGATTTTTTCATGCTCCCATAAATCAGCTTTACTGGTGAAAGTTTTTTCACATTGTTTACACTTGAGTCTATCATCTGTATGAATCAGTTCATGCAAAACAAGTGTATTTCTTCGAGTAAATGTTTTATCACAATGTGAGCACTTATACATATGAGCTGCAGAGTTGGTGACTTCTTTTTTGTTTTCATTCTTTACCTCGCGTCCACTTTTCCTTTGAGATTTTAAAGCCTTGTTATCCAAACACCCTTTTTCATGTTTTGAACATGCACTTTTACTGAAAAATTTCTCATTACAATATTGACATTTAAATGTATTTATAATTGACTTGTAACGCCTTTCCCCTGTGTGAGTGTTTTCATGCTCAGCACACTCTTCTTTAGTTGTAAAGTTCTTGAAGCAAATCTTACATTTAAATGGTTTGTGTATTTTTTCATGCTGTACACAGTTGTTTTTTCTGCGAAAACTTTTGTCACAATAATGACACTGGAATGGTTTTTCTCCAGTGTGAATACTTTCATGTTCCTTCAATAGATGTATCTTTAAATCATACATTCCTGTAAAACTTTGACTGCAGTGCTGACACTTGTATTTTTTGAGACTTCCTTTTTCTTCACTGGAAATATTTTCTTCACTAAACCCTACATCAATAATTTCATGCTTGATTAGGACCTCACTATCTTGTTCTTGATTGTTGGGATTGCACGATTTATTTTCTAAATCACTCGTTTCAGTTTCATTATCCTCTCCACCCGATTCCTCATAGCCGTGACTCTCTGGTAGTTCTAGCTGTGCATCAATGTGGAGGGCTATTATCTTCCTTTTCATTGTCAGTAAATCATTTTTAAGGTTAATAAAAACTTTCATAAAACCGAGGCACCTGCCACAAATAGCATCTGATTCATCAGGAGGGGACAGGACTTTTAAAAGTTCTCTTATTTCTCTCTCAATGTCAGGACAAGAGGAAAGTTTTGTGAATTCAGTCTTGGGGGAGTCTTTGCGAGGTCCACAGACTAAGCACCTGGGACTCTGCTCTGTATCTTTACTGCTTGAATTATCTTCACCTAAGATACATTGGGAATCGGTATGATTATTTCTGGGAGATGAAAGAGGTTCTTTTACATCCCTATCACTAATCTCTTCATTCATTCTCTCAACACAAACAGCTGTCCCTACAGGTTGTATATCCCTGTCATTATCTATAGCTAAATCAGTCTCAGCGTCTTCTTTGTTGCCAGGTGCATTTTCTCTAGCTGAACTTAGATCCTTTTTCGGAACAACCGCACTTGTATTATCATCACCTGAGGAGGATATCCATGGAGATGAGACGGCTTCTTGCCTGGCTTCTTCTTCAGGTGTGGACATATTTCGACCTTAATAACTCGTCCAGAGATAAGTTCACAGCGCAGAAAATATATTTGACTGACCTAGCTGCAGCAACACCATTCTGACTTCAAACTGAATAGCTTTGATCTCCTTAGGAAGTTCTATTATAGCTATTAAAGCTCTATTTTAAGGTTTGCTCCATTAACACAAAGGTCCTTCGAAAGGAAAAAATACTATGATGCGATAGTCTCATAGTTAAATACATTGACCTAGTAAATTATTTAATATGGTTCTGTGTAACAACAAATTCAAATTAAGAGAAATAATAGTTTCCTTCCTCTATAGATGTTTGATATTATTCAACTCGATTTAAATCCGGTAAATCACTGTGTAACGAAACACTTGTCGATAATCCCTAAAGACTTGGTTGAAGCTTTTCTTGGCGAATTGAGCTAATTCATTCGGCATTCGGCAAATTCCGGCCGATTTCGTTACTCGCATTATAATTTTTTAGCGAGGTACGAACCCCCGAAAGGGGTTTGCGATAGCATTAAAACACTTTTATTTTCTTTATTGTTTCTGGGGTCATTCTGGGGTCATTACAGAATATAGTAGTAATAACTATTTAAATGCTCTCATCAAACATTTAAATTTGAAACATAGAAAGCGGGCGCCTAATATTCTGTGTTAAAAAAAAAAA